AATGTGTTGATGTCCTGCATTGGGTCATTCAATGAACATAATCAAAATCATAGAGTATTATACCTCCATAAATCCTTAAAAGTATTATCCTTTCAATTTTCTTTTAAGAAATAATATTTAACAAATTACTGTAAGATACTAGTATTTTAAAATCTGCATCTTGTCCCCTTGAAATTAATTACCATATAATCCCTATTACATGTAACCACCCCTGCCCCTATAAGCGCCCCCTAGGTCTTTTTCAATTATCAGGAAATAAGGACCCCTGTAAAGGGATTAAATTCATTTAGAATCATATCAAAAGTCTGCCACTGCCAAATTTGATTTTTTGATTAAAATTTGACATTAAATATTAAAAAGAGAATACCAAAATAACTGCCCCCTTATCGCAATTTTCTAAGCGCCTGGGGCCGTTAATAGGGATTATACGGTATAAAAAAAAAAAAGAAAAATTAAGAAAGAAAAAAGAAAACTAAATTGAGCTCTTCTTTTTTACCTCTTCATAATAAATGCAGTCTGCTAGCAAAATATAATGGTAATAGTCTGCGATTGTGTCCTGACCCCAGGTCAAAGGTTGTGCTCTGGCTGAACCTTTTATTGCTGATTTGTTTTTCTCAATGTTCATTTCAATCAAAGGCACAAATTCTGGTAAATCTGTAATTGTGACCTCAGCTCTGGCGAGGATAAAAAGAGACAAAAATTAACAAGGAAGATAAGGAAATACTTAAGTTTTACGTGCTTTATAGTTTTACTGTCAGTGCCAAAAGATTAATACATTGTTAAATCAGGGACCTTCATACTAGTTCCCTGGTTCAATGATTCTCAGGAACGGTACTACAACCATTGACAATTCCAACAAACTTTTTAATAGCTGCAGTTATGTAGTTCTCTGGTTTAAAAAATTGGGATGGACAACCATAAGCTACAGTGCCACCCACTGAAAAAGTGTATATTTATTGTGCACCAACACAATTTATGTGCTGTTTTCTTGATATATTTCTCCCTAAAATATTTATGCTCCCATCTCAAAATTTTACATACTGTGTGTTTCTACCACATTCTTTTACTACTTCACAACAAAACATTTTCCAGAACCGTTGTTTAAAGCACTAATGGGCCTGAAATTGAGACCGTGGCATGGGAAATGTTGCCTATTTATACTGCCATATTAGGTGGCAATACAGTTTGGTCCAATGTGCTTTGTGCATGACTTGTACATGCAGTTTTATTGTGGATGTAGTAAAAGTGTATGTTATTGGAACAAGCAGTTAGTTATATTTTGAAATATGCAGTGAAAAAAATATACACTTTTTCAATGGGTGATACTGCTCTTACTGGTTGTCCATCCATTTTTTATGACCAGAGAACTACAGATCTGCAGCTAAGTTTTAACTGAACATTACTGTTGTAGGATTTTATGCTGAATGAGTGTTACTGAAATTATGATAAGACATGTATACATCCAGATGTATAACTGTACTAGCTTAACTGCTTTGTCACACAAACCCTCTTATAGTGTACGTTGCAAACCTATAAGAACTTGGGCATGCACCCCCCATCCCCCACCTCTAATTTTTTAAACCAATATTTATACAATAATAAACAAAGCAACTCTTTAATTAAGCCTCCTCGTCTGACAACCTTTTCCTGTCTTCTAATTTGCTTTCTTTAACCTCCAAATTGAAATAAATGTTACTCCATCCCTTTTGGAATCCGAGATTCCTCTGACTCAAACACTTGCTCTTTATCAGGTCCAGTCCAAAGACTATTTCTACCTACGTAGGTATTAATAGCTACCTAGGTATTTAAAGCTACCAAAAGTAGCTATTTTTACCTACTTTATATAATTTCTGCATTTTGCGACCAAAAGACCAAACGGCGCAACATGGTGAATACCGTATTTTTTGATACGGTCACACTAATGATGAATACGACAAAATTTTGGCCAAAAAATGATTACTTCCAGAATCGGCAATTTTACATTTGTTTCTATGCAAAATTGATAATATACGAAGTTTTCATTTTTTGGCCAAATTTGTGTCATAATCATCAACTGTATGAGGTTTGTGCTCACCATGTTGCGCCGTTCCTGCATTTGGCCACAAAATGCAAGTAAAGCAGAAAGTAGGTAAAAATAGCTACTTTGGGTAGCTTTAAATACCTAGGTAGCTATTAATATCTACGTAGGTAGAAATAGTCTTTGGACTGGACCTGTTTATTGACCTAGAAGACACATGTCACAATATAAGAAGCAGGGGTTAGAGTAAGGGGAATCTCAGATTACCCCCCTTTGAAATTCTTCCTAGACTATGGGTCTTGATCGTACAGTTTAATGAAATGTTTTGATTACAACATATGCATGGAATGTTACAAAGAAAATGTTTTAGATGTCTAGTTTAGTGGTATACCCTAAATGAGCAGCAATGAGTCCCACACAACCCGTCCCTGCTCCAAGTTCTAAGATTTTCTTGCCCTGTAACAGTTCACCATTCTTGAAATCGGGAGTTTCCATGTATTTCGACAAAACTAGTGCTGCATCCCATACAACACAACCAACGTCACCAACTTCAAGTTGGTGGATACAAAGGACTTCATCTGTATTCGTCTCTATTTCACGAACAAATGTGTTCTGCAAGGGGGCTGCCATGACAGTTAAATTTCCGAGCCCGAGGGTAAAAAAAAAAGGAGAACACATTCTAAACCATCTCTTTCAGAGTACATGAAATAAAATGACATTGTTAATGCTTTTTTCTAAATAGGGTTCTTACAATATATATTTATGGCGAAGGCAAGAACAAAAAATATTCTAACGAGATTTCGGGATCGATGATCAAAAATCTCGAAACGCGGTAAACATGAACAAGAATTTGAAGCAATGTCAAAAAATTTCTGTTGAGGTTCTTGATTTTTTCTCTCCAGATGTTTATAAGTATAGGTTTTGCCTTCTTTTTATCAAAATATTTTGTTTTTCGGTATCCCTCCTTTTCATGCCAGAGGACGAATTAGTGGTATAGTTAAAAAGTGAAATCTTAACAAATTATGTATCATTTGATTTATTCATCCACGTTAACAGTGATTAAATTAATTATTATAATTTTTTTCAGTCCCTGAAATATATCAATATTAAATGGAAAAAATTATAAAAATTACAATCATATTAAATTTCATAAATGTTATGTTTATTTCAGTTAATTTTTCCCGTTGAACGTGTCCGGATTCTGAACTTCAAAAATCATATATTTTCAATATATCTGATTTTCAGTTAAATGTTTTAGATTTTTTTTTCAAAGATCCAAATGAAATAATTGTAAATATGTTGCCGAAATTATTCAAGATCCGGGCTGTAATAAAAAAGAAATATAGTCATTAAAAAACACAATATTTTGAACTCTTTCAGCGAAGGCCAATCTTAGAATAAAAACTATCATCAATTTCATGTAATATTTGTTTATATCTATATAAAAACAGTTTTCAATGATTTGTTTTCATTTTAGTCACACTCCGGTAAACATGAACAAGAATTTGAACCAATGTCAAAAAGTTTCTGTTGAGGTTCTCGATTTTTTCTCTCCAGATGTGAACAGAAAAAGTCTTTTTATCAGTGGTATCCCTCACATGCCAGAGGACGAATTAGTGGTAGAGTTAAAAAAAATCTGAACAATTTATTTATCATTTGATTTGTTCATTATATTATACATGTTACAGTCCAGTCCAATACGAAAAATCGTAATATTACTAAAATTCGTAATATAAGCATCTTCTAAATCTTCTAAGAGTTACTTCCCTTTTCTCTGATACAACCTGCTTGTTATGTTTCATGAGAGATAATACGTCTCAGGTTTCATCAAATCATCGTGGATATGCATGCATTTTCTTTGTTTTGATGCATTTGAACCAATTACATGCAGAGTCAGAGCCTAGTGAAAGTTGTAAAGTAATTCACCTCTTTGTTGGAGATATCAGTTATTAGGGTAAACTACCAAAAATATAGGGAATTCAATTTGTCACTATGACAAGTTCTAGGATACATTGAAGTTTTATGGAAAATTGTTCCTATAAAATCATATAAGAATAATAATACAAAATGTTCACTCACCCATTACTATTGTTACTTTCTTCTTGCATTTTCATACTTTTCGATAGATGTCACTGACCAAAATGACCACGTGATACTAGTAACATTGGGGCAAAATGTATTTCTGATTACTTTTTTCTTTCAATGCTTAATTTTGTTAATGAAAATGGTGTAATATATCTTACAACATGCTATATTATGTCTTATTATTATATTCAAAAAATTGTAATATAAGAATAATATTACGATATTCTGTAATATTACGATTTTTCGTATTGGACTGGACTGTGTTATACATGTACTTTTAAAAATTATTATGATAATCAGATAATATATCAATATTATGAACATATTTATATTTTATACATGCATTTATCATATTAGATATAAATGTTATGTTTATTTCAATTAATTTTGAAGATTCTGAACTTCAAAAATAATCCACTGAGATATCAGATACATGTATGTGTAACGGGAAAGGAATTGTAGCGGTACCAGTTCGAAAACTCCGGTCATATACCAACTGAGCTATCTGGCCACCGGCGATCGAACCCGGCTGCCACATTTAATCTTTGGCGCTATATCCGTAATTCAGTTATATCCGTATAACGTCAATTCAAGGGCATAACCATTATAGCGAATTCGCAATATACATGTTTTCTCTACCAACTGGCTATTACCACCAAATATGTTACATATGTAAATATTACAAAACATATCTTCTCTTGTTAACTCTTAAGGTTTTATTATGAATTCATTGATATTTCATATACAAATGTTATAAAGGAAATGTAATTATTTTGTTTGTAGGAACACCTTTACTCCACATTTTCAAATTTCTTACACAGATATTCTTACAGCCAGAAAGTTCGTTCATAAAAGATCTAAATTTCATTATATTTAACCTAGCCATGTCAGCCAAGCGAGCAAAAGATGATCTTAATGGGAAGATAACTTTCCACAACACTGAATGCAAGGTAAATGAATAACCACTGAAAATTGCGTTATAACCATAAATTTTTACAAAAAAATGTTAACAATTTTGCTCCTTGGGCTTTGGTATCATTATCAAAAATTTGCTATATCCAACAAATGAATACAATCTTTATTGCCTTGGCTTTTAAAGAATAAAGTAGGATATTCAGTTTTACTGTATTTTGTCATGCATGCAATGTATATCTTAATAAATTCTATTTAAATGTGACCCATTATCATGTTGTTGCTAAAAATTAAAGAAAAAAGAGCTATATGGTAACAAAAAGTATAGTGTGAAATAAATTATTATCAATTTTATTTAAACAGATAGCATTTGCAAAGAGGAAGAAAGAGGTCTGTGAGAAAAAGCCTCTTCACTTCAGTAAATGTCAGGAAGTAGCCAATCATTTCCTGGGCTTCAATGGCTGGTCAGTGTCACACAAATATGTAAGTTACAGTTAATTTTATTTTATTTATCATTTTAATTATGTAAATGGCGCACTAAAAAATTAGTATATATGGCTATAAGATGTTGTGGTCTATATATTTTAGGACCGTTTTCAGAGCACCGATTGTATTCATGACGTATCTAAAATGTCTCGTTCAATACTTTGTAATATACACCAGCAGAGCGTCTGATTATCACTAAAATCGGAATTGTACATGGAATATTTCCTTCGTTTAGATTATGTACTAGAATTTTTTTTTACAGCTCTGTTCAATTATATTTATTAAAATTATATGTAATGATTTAAATAATAAACACTTGAAAGTAATACTCCACTATGTAATATGTTCTATATTTCTTAAAACTTTGATTATTTATTTCGAAACAAAACAAGTACAAGTTACTCATTGTGTATCCAGACACTTGCCCGAAATGCCTCCAAAGGCCAACTGACCCAAAACAACGAAGCTTTCGTTTGTTTAAAACGACGGAAACTTTTTCAAATGTGCAGAGGTCTCTGATGAACAGTCCAGACATTGACTCCTGATGTCCATGGCAACGATGTCTATTTTATATTTGTGTCTTAAAATGTTTTCCAAACAAATAAAAAGTTTCTTATTTAAGTTTTTTGCTCCGAGTTCTTAATCTGCAACTGCCCCAGGTCTATTCAGTAGAGAAATGTGCATGTAAGTTTGCATCCTTTTTAGTTTAGCTCTTCAACAACTTTTCAATAAAATTTAACTTAGGTGTTCTGTTTATCAATTTTTTTAATACTCTATTGTATGAACTCAAGTCTAAAACAATTCTCCAATATGACATTTTTCAGTACTGAGATGAAATTTAAAGAAAAAAACTTTCTTTTATAATTATAATATTATTCATTTTATTTTAAAAAACTGAAATTGGTTGTGTCAGAAATGGCATTTAAAAACCCTCAGAGACCCATCAAATTTACTTGAAATTGATCACAAAATAGCATGAAATATCAATTTTTCCCATGGACTCCACGGGGCATTGCCCCTGGACCCCAATGGGGGCATGGGAGGAGGATTTAATGTTGATGGGCCATTGGCCCATCAACATTAAAATCCAGAGTGATCCCTGTAGCTTTATTTAATGCTGTTTATATGCTATACTCTGTATATGTAGAGTAAACCGTCTCGATCATTATTTGTAATATACATATTGTAAAATTCAGACATATGCCTCTCTGATTGATAATACAGCTCTGATTTCATAGTTACAGCTAGTCTCTAAATACCTCTTCTGCTATTCAGGATGGTTTCTTATGTAAGATCACGAAGTGAGAATTGTTTTAAATATGACGATTGTTGTACAAGGAAGTAAAGAGTTAATTTTATATTTGTGTCTTAGTTAAAAGCATTGTCAATAACCCACAAGAAGAAAATCACCCAATTTTCAATATTTTATTTGCTTTTCTAGACAGACAGTGAAACCAATCCAACAGAAGACCACACATACAAAGTAAGAGAGGTGGCTGTTGTCAGACTTAATCTTAAGACTGATGGACTCCATGCCGAGGGACTGGGGGCATGGGAGGAGCTTTATAGTATCAGAGGTACTTATATGTTTAGGCTGGGTAGTAAGGATTCATGTGCATGTAGAGGCATAAGAGTACAATGTATCATTGTTGACATTGTAATGTAATGATGTCATGGAAGTTAGCAATTCTTCAATATGTAAAAGAAAAGGAGAAAATGTTATTGCTAATGGAATCAAACCTAGGAGCCTTGCTTAACATGTTGCTGCCAAAAGAGCTTATGATAAATACACCAAAAAAAAATAATCTATTTACCTGCATTCTGGTATATACAGTATGCCCTATCTTTAATTCAACGTTATGAAAATATTTGCAAAAATAATTATCATGAAATGATTTTGTATACATGTTATGTTGTATCCTAATTATCTATACATGGTCAATGGAATTTCACTTTCATATTTTGCATTTCTGCTTTGTAGATCCTGTAAGCAGAGGAAAAGCAATTTGCAAGTGCAAGAAATTGGCATACCAGCGAGCTGTAGAGAATGCCTTTTCCAAAGTCATCATTCTAGTGTTATCTAATGGAAAGATTGCAGTAGAAGTGGACACTACACAGCCAGAGTTATTGTTGACAGAAAAGGCACTGGATGATGAAAATGTTTTAAAGGTATTCTTTTTAACAAACTTGGCATAAATTGACTTTACATTTGTTCTGCAAGTGAACTGCCAGAATGACCTTGATTAAGGTTATGACTCTTAGGTCAGAGTAATCATTAGTTGTGCCATGTATGTTTCAATTTCTTAGAAGGTTACCTGAAATGACCAAGACAGGAAATATATATCTTATAGAAAATTAAACTTAAACTTGAATACATAACCTTAAAGGTAATTAAATAATCTGTTCACAAAATATAAATTTTTGTTTTGAAGTATGAACCTTTAATGTTAATCAAAGAGAGCTCTTAAAACATTTGTAGGCTGTATGCCTGCTGCCAATCCGTTAATGTAAAATTTTATAATACAAAAAAGTTTGAAAAAGATATTTTTAGCAAATAGATCACAGTCAAGTCACAAGGTCATTGACCTTGATGTCATTTGAAAAAAATTAATTAGTGGAGTAGGCATACCAAATATGGAGTCTCTATCTCTCATAGTTCAAAAGTTATAGCGAAGGTTTGAAAAAAGCTATTTTTAGCATATAGGTCACAGTCAAGGTCACAAGGTCATTGACCTTGATGTCATTTGAAAGAGCTTAATTAGTGGAGTAATGATACCAAATATGAAGTCTATATCTCTCATAGTTCAAAAGTTATGGCAAAGGTTAAAGTTGACAATAGACAGACAAACAAACAGACAGGACAAAAACAATATGCGTCCCTGATCTATGGATCTGGGCATATAATACCTTCAAATCAAATCAATGTTTATCAAAGCTTGTCCACCAGTGACCTTGAAAATGTCCATGAGACCTTGATCCTGCCAAGGTCAAGATAACCCTTACATCATAAGCAATGTTTTTTTAAGTTTGAGCACAATATAATGATGAAGGTATTTCCACGATACTAGATTTATGCAATTCTAAAAGTTTTTACATGGGGGATTAATATTCTTGTCACATATTTAGCATAAAGTACACATTTTTTGATATACAATTATGAGTTAACTTCCAAGAGATTTGCTTTTCAGAGATTTAGTCTTATGGATATTTGTTAAATACATGTACATTGTATACTAAGTAAATAAAGTATTTCTTATTCATTATGAGCAGATTAATGAAGTTGATGCTGACACTGTAATGTTTGAAGATGATGATATCACCCTCAGTGAAGTCCCAGAGGAGGATATTGATGCTGCAAATCTCCATATACTGCACGAGCTAGAGGAAGTTTGATTTTACCAATATCTAAACATACTGAGTTAGAGGAAGTCTGATGCTGCAAATCTTCGCATACTGTGTGAGTCAGAGAAAGTCTGATGATACCAATATCTCCACATACTGCTATCAATATCTCCACATACTGTATGAGTTAGCTAAAGCCTGAAGCTACCAATCTCCCAATTTAATACATGTATTGCTAATTTGGAGAAATCTTGGTGAAAAAAATATTGCTGAAACCTACGAAGTAGAGGAATATTAATGTTATCAGATTCCTCATAATTCAGACAGGAAATCTGATGCTGCCATTCTCAACATGAACCTTATATATAGGACTTAAATACTTTCATACTCCATGTTCTTAAATTAGAGGACTATATTGGCCATCGCCAAATAGTGCCATGAACGGCTGATTAATGAATTGAACTTAAAAGCTTACCTCCAAATGCCGCGTAAGGTAAAAGAAGTTTAATATTTTTAGTACTTGTGCAGTGCACTACTCATATATTACTGGAAGTCTTACACTTTTGAGCTTTATTTAGTGTATGATCTAATGTCTGTATATTTTTAATGCATAAAATAAATATAATAATTGTTGAATTCAAACTAATCAGAAGAAATGAAAAATGCTACTAGGATATTTTCCTAGTGTATCTAGTTGTTTGGTTTTGGTTAAAAGTGTCTGTCATTCTTTTCATGACATGTTTTACAGATTATAATTCATGCACTAATTTTTATGCAGCAAATTTAAATTCTTTTCTTCTGTTTGAATAAGAAGAAATGTAATGTATATTGGTACAACAGGATTTGGTTGAAAAAATCAAGCCTGATGGTGTGTATGATATTTTGTTATTTACTGCCAAAACGTTCTTACCTTCCAAATGCCTGCACATTTGATAAACTAGGTTTAAAATAAGTTTACATATTTTAACGTACTTCGTTAAGTATAGTGCACTAAAACTATATTTAACGTATATTACTAAGTGTATCTGTCTGTAATAAGCATTAACAATAGATTTTGTTGATAAACATAGATTCACGTTTGTAAACTATAGTCTACAATCGTAAACTATAGTTAAGAGTAGTTAATCATAGTTTCACAAATCGTGAAACTATAATTATCAGATTGTTAACTATCATAATAGTTAACGGTTTGTATATTTTAAATGCATAAAATAAATCGCATGATTGTTTTCAGTGTTAAGTATAGTTTACAAATTAATATGGTTTACAGTAAAATATAATGTAAAATTTACAGTCGGTAAACTATAGGATATTTTATCAACTGTGAAACTATGTTTAGCTCATTTTTGTGAATTTGGTGTGCCATAGATATCACCTATTCAAAAAGATGTTATCACTTATTCAAATAGGTGATATCACGTGTTTGAATTGATGATATTACAGAAATGAATTTTCATGCATTAAATCTTTTTCTGCATTGCTTTTAATTGGTGACTTTTGAATTTCTTACCAAATTGATTCTTTAACATCATTTTGATACATGAAAGATATGAAATAAATTTAAAAATATGGGTTCTTGAGGTTGCTTAAAATTTAATGCAAAACTGTAATCCATTATCTCCTAAACTGAAAGTACTATAGGCTTATTATATATCAAGAAGGGAGGGCATATTGCTTTGCTGCTGTCTGTCGGGGTTGGTGTGTCACTCCATTTAGTTTCCCCATTTTCTTCACAACCGTTGCAGATTGACCTTTTGGTATACAGGTATATCAGAAAATGTTTACTGTTTTGGGTAAAGGACAGGTTATGCCCCCCCACATTTCAGCAAAGGATATCGTAGTGTTATCACCTTGAAAATTAACCCCAAAAAGTTTGAAATGAAAGGTCTTGAAAAAAGTTAGCCATTACCCCCACTACTTGACCTTGGCCTACTTGACTTCTATTAATGATATCTGTGAAAGATTATTGATATGTTTCAGTCAAATGAACGTCAATTGTATGTAGGAAATAAAATTTTGCAGGCTTTTTTGTGGAAAATACTCGGCCCCCTATATTTATATATTAGGTGTAATATATGTATTAAACAATAGAAAAGTAGAGAACCATGAATTAGAGATAGAAGCAACATTATTGCATTCAGAACAATTTTTCCTCATTCCGTAAAGTACCATCCTTCATGTAACATTACATCATTAAAGTTCTAACTTTTATCTACATTTGTCAGAGACCGCATTAGAAAGATGCATCACGAAGTGGGTTGAGTAAATGAAATTTATAAATTGTTGGATACATAAGCATTTGATGGAAAAAGTAGGGAGAAAGGGTAGCGTTTTACGTTAAAAACAATATGTATTTAAGTTTTTCATACTTAGCTTTTCAAACAGTTTTTATCTAGTTGCAGTATAATTTAATGCATGAAGAAAGAAATCAGAGAAGCTAAACAAATTTTATTTATGCTTGCTAAATTGTCGACGATAAGGTCGCATTATAACTCAAAAGAAAATGGAATAAAATTTAAAAGAAACAGATGTTCTAACCGAATGACTGTCAGAAAGTTTAAATGTCGACCCCTGAGATATATGAAAGATCGTTTTGCAGAAAATCATTAAGCGATCATACAATGAAAAGAAAGGAAATCACCATTCTGTTAGTTTACATGCCTGAGTTTCTTTCAATATTACAGTGTACAATGTTTTCTCGATGTACAAACTTGGTTGTCAATTTGAATGACAAGGAGGGGTTACAATAAGGGTATTTAAAAATCAGTCAAACCCTTTTGTAATTTGGAAAAAAGAGAAATCTGAATATTTGCATTCATCTTTCATCATAGATAAAAATTCAGACTTTTTAAAATTGTACTGCCATGCCAAAAAATAGAAAATGGCTGGGAAATTACTAAAACAATTCGTGCATTTTTAAAGACAATGTAAGTTGGATAACGAAGATCGCCTTATGTTACATCTTCAACCAATCGTGTGTTGGAGACAATACAAATAAGGTTTATCAGTGAATATACCCGCTGTGTGTTTCATAAGGTTATTATCTCCAAATAAATCCCAGAATGGAATGTTCCTTATTGATTTCCAAATTTCCGGGTTACTAACCCCGATAACAGAAAAGAGAAAAATTAACTTGAACCTAGACAGGTAAGATATTTTGATAGAAGTTTTTCTTTTTTTTAACTTTTATTGTACGCTAAAGGCTAATTAAACCATTGTTTGTTAACTTCAACATTTATTCAAAAATGCCAAGGTATACTTTAAGTTTTGAAAATATCACAGTTATCTTAATTATTGATTTCTCAATCATTTTTCTATCGACATTTGACATCTGATAAATCTTGTTTAGATTACAAACACAGTCTGTTTTGTATGTGTATCACAGCGTTTTGTGGTGTAAAAACTTGTTCATCCATATACATATATCCTTTGATAGTGTTGATGTGCAAACATGCATTATGTTTGAATTCCTTTTAAATTCTTGAGAAAAGGTTTATTCAATCATAAATATTCATAGCCGGATTTCTTTTGGAGAAAAGGAATTCACAAGTCTATTGAAAGCGGTATTGAGATGGTTAATATTAATGGATGTCTGCATTTCAACTCCTAGGAGACGTGGATTGTTTGCTTTTACCTGAATTTCCTCGAGACTTGGAAAACTGAAAATGGATATGCTTTATTCTTTTTTTAGGTACGAAAACATTTATGTTCAAATTTGGCAAAGGAATTAAAATACCGGTTACATGTAAGTAAACCACTGCTGGGTTAGTTGGTAATTAAGGGTATCGACAAGTGCGACATTCATTCTGAACAAATTGGTGATTTGGTAGTTAAAAGTGTTTACAAAATGACACAATGAATTGGTAAAAATAAAATTTGATAATCTGTTATGTCCCGCCATGAAGATGACCGGGGCAAATAGTGTTTGTCCTGTCTGTTGTCCATCCTTCCGTCGCGCTTTGCGTTTAGCTCGGTTCATAGCATCTTCACCAGCCAAGGGTTTCTGATTCGCTACTCTCATAAGTTTATGAGGAGATAAGCGTATTAGAAGCCCTTGGCTAGCGAAGATGAGTTCAAAGCTAAGTTTCAAAGAAACTATTCAAAATATTTTTATCAAATTTTATTGAAACTTTAAAAAGTGGGAGGGTATATAGTAATCGGGATTTCCGTCCGTCTGTTACGTTATTGATTAGAGCTGTGGAACTGCATAAACATTTATTGACCTTTCCTTGACATTGACTTCACTTTTCTTAAATTAGTGTTTAGCTCAGCTTAAAGAAACCATTCAAGATAGATAGTGTAATCGAACTTTATATGTTGATACATACTAATGTAAGCTTTTCGACTGCATCAACATTTTTTACCTAAACCTTTCCTTTGACCTTACTTTTCAAAGTGTCTTGATCAGTTTTGAATGAATAATTGAAGATATTTTTATATAACTTCATATTCTGATACATACTGATGAGAGCTTTCAACTTCGATTACATTTTTTTACCTTGACTTTTCCTTTGACCTTGACCCCACTTTATAAATTAGTGTTTAAGGTTTAAAAAACACACATTCATGATACCAGCTATTTTTATCAAACTTCATGTGCTAATACATACTGATGTAAGCATTTCGACTACATCAACATTCTTTTTTACCTCAAGCTTTCCCATTCCCTTGACCTCTCATTTTTAAAATAAATGTTTAGCTCAGTTTTAAACAAATAATTCACCATATTTTATCAAACATAATATGTTGATACGTATGTGAGAGCTATTTAACTGCATCAAAAACTTTTCACCTTGCACTTTCCTGTGACCTTGTCGCCCCTCTCTATTTTCCCTAGTTTTAAAGAAACCAGTTTAAGATATTTTTACATAAACATGCACTTGTACTTATCTTGATGAAAATTTATCATCAATAGCCATTTTTTTTAAAATTTAGATTTCAGAATTCCAAGGAATTCTCATCAGACTACAAACACTCATACCAATTTTCATGTTGCATTAGTAATATACCAGTGGGGCATTCATGTCCTATGGACATATTTCTCTTTTGAAATTTTAAATAAGTTGGCAAAATTGCATGTAAATCAGA